AATAGCCCACCATCTCCGCGCACTTCTCACATCTATGCACACAAACGGAGGGAAACCCCTCCTGCGCTATCACATGGTAATTTACAAGAAGTGGGAACGCGAGAAGCGGTACTGCCCATCTACTTTTAAACGTCTTGATATTGTGAGGATCATAGCCGAAGAGGTGGGACGCGAGCCGCGGAAAAGCCCACCATCTCTGCGCACTTCTCACATCTATGCACACAGCGGAGGGAAACCCCTCCTGCGCTATCACATGGTAATTTACAAGAAGTGGGAACGCGAGAAGCGGTACTGCCCATCTACTTTTAAACGTCTTGATATTGTGAGGATCATAGCCGAAGAGGTGGGACGCGAGCCGCGGAATAGCCCACCATCTCCGCGTAGTTCTCACATTTATCCGCACAAACGAAGGGAAACCCCCTTGTGGTAAGCACTGCAGGTCATAAGAAGTGGGAACGCGAGAAGCGATATAGCCCATCTACTTCAACCGTTATCATATTGTGAGGATCATAGCCGAGGAAGTGGGACGCGAGCCGCGGAATAGCCCACCATCTCCGCGTAATTCTCACATCTGTGCACACAAACAGAGAGAAAATCTTTCCCTGCGCTGGCACACAGTAAATCAAGAAGTGGGAACGCAAGAAGCGTTACTGCCCATGTACCTCAAACCATATAATACTGTGAGGATTACAGCGGAGGGCGTGGGACGCGAGCCACGGAATAGCCCACCCTTCTCGCATATATCTCACAGTGTTAAGCGCAATACAGAAGGGGAAGTGCCCTGCCTTATTGCATAACAAATTAAGAAATGGGAATGCAAGCTGCAATACTGCCCATCTTCTCAACACACCCATAACAATTCGTATAACAGAGAAAGCTGAGGGAGAGGGACGCGATTCGCGGAATAGCCCACGTTCCTCAACATATCTCACAACCTAACACCGATACCACGGGAAAACCGCCGTTGTACTGGCAAAACTACGAATTGAAATTAGTGACTGATTCCCACTACATAACAAAATTTGTAGAAGAAAAAAATACTTTCAAGTTGCAAATGACAACATAAACTGAAACAACGTTCAACTGCGGCAGTAAGCGCTTCTTAACAAAAGCTAACAGTAAATCAAATTAAGCCTTGAACTCAGGGCTACGGCTTGCCTTTCTTGGCTTCGATAATTTGTACCTCAAACCATATAATACTGTGAGGATTACAGCCGAGGAAGTGGGACGCGAGCCGCGGAATAGCCCACCCTTCTCGCATATATCTCACAGTGTTAAGCGCAATACAGAAGGGGAAGTGCCCTGCCTTATTGCATAACAAATTAAGAAATGGGAATGCAAGCTGCAATACTGCCCATCTTCTCAACACACCCATAACAATTCGTATAACAGAGAAAGCTGAGCTGATGAATTCATCAGTGTCCTTTAGCAGATCCGCTTGGTAAGCCTGCAATACAGAGATAGTATGCAGGGTACCGCCCGCCTGCCCAGCCGCCGCGTATGCCTTGCCCACGAGCCTAGATGTAAACTGGCACGGCTTCGAAGGCAAGGTAGGAGCCCTCCACGAAGATGCCTGGGGAGCAGCGAGATAACCCGCAAGGGATTCCTCCATCTGAGGCATCTTCGTGTACCCGCTGTCTTCCAGCCCCTTCACATTAGCGTAGTTTGACTTGTTAGGGGGAAAGACGCGGGCAGAGAAAGGATTCCTCCATGACCTCAACAGCTCGCTGTGAAGCTCAGGGAGGAATGGAAGGCTCGGAGGGGCGGAGCGTTTATGACCTGCTAGGAAACGCTCATCCAGACGGCCACTAGACTCGCGTTCCTGCATCTCCGCCGACCAGTCCAGGGTTAGCCTGGCGGTGGCGCGGGTCATGACGTCCAAGAGTTCCCCATACGCGGGTGACGAGGAGGAGGCGGGTTGTGATGTAGCCTCCGCCTCAACTCCTGTCACGTCTATCTCCTCGGAGCTAGACCGGCCGAGTAACATGCTCTCTGCCGGATCAGAAGAAACCGGAGACCGGGCTTCCAGACACCCGCCCGTGCATGCTGTGCCCCCAGACACGCCACACAAAGCTCATGAGCATCACTAGGTGTGATGTACCTTTCACACGGTGGGACACATCTTTTAAAACTGCGCTCAGACATTTATTTTTATTTTTTTTCTTTTCCAACGTTCTGTTACACACGCACACACAAACAAAACGGCTGAAGACAAGAAGCTGATGACGTGTGCTACAGGTGCCCTTTTATACTCTTGGTCGCACCAGTAACACGTCATGGGCCAATGACAAGTTCATTGTCGTGTTTCCACATGCACTTCAGACACCGGTCACGCTGAGGGCGTTCCCCAAAGTGTCCTCTAGGGGACGCAGTGCGAGTTCCCATTCGATAGGGAACAGTCAAGTTATCATATTATCATATATAGATTATCACGTATCCTAAACAGAATTTCCATCTGTATGAAGCATAAGGCCAGAGGCTTTTGAGCCAATATGTCTAACACAATCTCATGACAATTCGTAACTATTTTACATTTTGGCAAATTGGACAAAAATTGCACGAAATTCCCTATTGCAATTAGCTAATCATAAAATAGTTACTTTCTCCTGTGGGATCAACTTGGTATGCTTTTACCCTTGTAAAAAAGACTACTTTTAAATAATATACTTTAAAAGAAAATAGTTATGTGCAAACTCAATGTAATGTTTTCGGACACTTAATTGCATGTTACTTACAATTTAGCGAAAATATAGTTTAAATTTATATTAAATGCAAAGTAGCTAATTAGCTTTTTTTTACCCATATATATATATATATATATATAGGATTTAAATATGAAATTTCATAATGACTTTACTGTCTTAACATAAAATGCACTTCTAAATCTACTGACAAGCATTTATGATAAACTAAATTAGCCAAACTGCTACATTTCCCACATTATCATTGGGATTTAATTATAGATTTATATTTATAGGTGTATAGATTTAAAGTCCTAGAAAAAACTGGCTTAAGCTGGTTGCTGTGTTTTGGAAGATGCTAGCAGGTCATTAGCTGCTGCAAACTAGCAGAGTGACTGGCAATTCCAAAACACAGTTAACAGCTTAAACTGGATTTACCAGGAGGTGAAAATGAGAATGAAAGAAATTCAGAGAGAAAATCGCTGAAATGTACTTTGAATATTGAGAGGGTCTTAACCCGATTAGCAAACAGGGCAAATGCTTCCCAGAGAGCGTTTATGAGTGTAAGCAAACATGATTAATATTACATGCACACTCAAATACACACTTACATACAAACGCACAAACACACACATTTACAGAGGAAGTGAGCAGGCGGGGGAGGAGAGTGAAAGACAGACAGACAGAAGCCCAGAGAGATTGATGACTGTATTCAAATGAATACAGAGAACTGACAGGAACCCAATGGAGCGAAACACTGGCACAGAGAGAGTCTGATGTGAGGCAGTCCAGCACAAGCGCACGCACACTTACAACAACATACAGTAGCACACACGTCAATACAGTGACAAACGCACACTTTAACACCACACATGTGCTGTGTGCTCCAATTCCCAAGACCAAACACAGCCACAAATGGCCTAAAATGCTTTTAGGATCAATAAACGCAAGAACTGAGTTGCCACTGACACTCCTTCACCTCTTTAAACGAGCAAAAAAACAACAAAGTCACAAAGAACTGTTTGGGAGTACAAATGGAACAATGAAAAATCACCCGGTTTCCCATGAGAATAACTTTTATTGCCGTTTCAAAAGCATCACTGAAGCCAGACAAAGCCGAAGACATTTCACCGCCGTCTTACCTAATTTAGGGAGGGAATATTTCACTTTGAAGTAATCCTGGTAAAAGTGCAGGAGTCTCTTGGTGATGTGCAGAGCGTAGTCCCCCGATCCGCTCTGGATGGCGTCAGGTCTGGCGTACAGCCGAATCTATGACAACGCAACATAAGAAGAGAGAGAACAGAAGTCAGGTGCTGAATGAATGACTCTTATACGGCTCTGTGTTTATTCCTAACCTGAATTCCCTCAAGGATAACAGTTATGGACTTGAAAGATACAGTTCCAAGGGTAATCCATTGTGAACATATCTGCCAAATGCCTTCATCTGGCTTGTGAATTTTGTGATTCAAGTGTACTTTTCTTCACCCCTCATGCATACAGTCTTGTTCCTTCCAGTTTTGTATACTTGTCTTGTTCAAATCAAAGTTTGTAAAATTTTTTTTTTTGATTCACCTCAGAGTTGGTTGGTTTAATGCATGGCTTAATGTTTTATTAAACAACTCATTTAAAATCCTTATCGACTGGGAAAGAAATATACTTCAGAACCAAGGCCATTGAAAAGTAAGCAGCCCGTTCTGCAGGAGTTATGGCACCTTTAAATGAACTGCCTGCACTTTCATAAACCATGATGTTATTGGGCTGTAGCTGCTGAAAACTCCTCCATACATTTGTTTTAAATTTGATTATTTCCATCAATTGTAAGCAAGGACTTTAATAAAATAGCATTTTACACATTTGTCTCTGGAAACTAATTCGATTTCCATGAAAAACCAAAAAGACAAAGCATTTGCATTATTCTGAACTATTATATGCATGTGAGAGAGAAAGTGTGAGAGGGAAAGTGTGTGAGGTGTGGCTCTGTGGGAAATATATTCCCACAGTAAAAATGATCTTGGACTCTTTTAGCCGAAGGCTGATGCACGGCACGGCTTTCTGAACGGGCATCCATCTAGTCAGAATGAATGTCCTCCTACACTAACAGAGTTACAGTGCAAAACAAGCAGCAGGAAAGGCTTTGTTTCAGAGCCTGGCAGCAATGCACATTGAATTATGTGTTGTTTACCTCACAAGTTGCTGGTGTATCGATCAGCTCTGCGTCTGATATAAAGATGAATGGGCGGCACTTAGGGCTGTGGAAATGATTCAAAGTTCAATCAAATCAATGTGATTTTAAAACAACCTGTAATTAGACAAAGTGCTCAAGTTGACAATCAAGAGACACTTCATTAATCAGCCGGTGTGGAGATTGTTTAATCTGACTCCAGTGCTGGCTGCTTCATTTGTTTGTTTGGTTTTGTTGACGGCAGCTTGACAGAGACTTAAAGTGATAGTTAACCCAAAAATGAAAATTATCCCATGATTTACTCACCCTCAAGGCATCCTAGGTGTGACTTTCTTCCAGGGCTGGCCCGTGGCATAGGCGGAATAGGCAAATGCTAGGGGCACCGCAGATCCCTAGGGGTGCCAAAATGAATTTTTTTTTTTTTTTTTACTTGGCTATTATTTTTTTATTAACAATACTACTTCAATAATATGAATTTAAAATATTACAAAAAAAGCGATCGTCCCACAAAAACATAACTATTTTATTGCTCTCCCGACTCATCCCACTCAGCCGCACTTCCACATACATCAGCTACCTGATTGTGATAGATGTTCACTAATAAAATATCACTATGTCAAAAACACCAAAGCCCTCTGGTGCCCAGGGAAGAAAAAAAAATAAGAGAAGAAGAAGAAAAACGGGACAAAGACAGAGGTAATGTGATGTAATGAATGATGATGATCATATAAATAAACTAACGTTAGCCCTTAAATGCATGAATGTTTCGCCAATCATAATTAGCTACATATTCGGGTCTTTAGCGACCCGGACCTATATATCCAGCACGGATGGATCTCTAACTTCTGCAATAGCAAAAAACTCTCTTGATATTTTAAGAATAATTACAGAAGAATAAAATAAAGCATATTTCGTTACCTTTTGAAACTTAGAAGGGTTCAATTTGAGCAGATGATTTTACCATCGCTGTCATCGTCAGAGCGCACTTCCACAGTATATTCAGCATCTGCCTCATATTCACGATCTCAACCATATTCTCAAAACTATCGTTTTCAATGACTTCAAAATCAAATCACTGGGAGCTTATTCACCACATCCACCATCAAATGACAGTGACATTAATATTTTATTGCGTACAGTGATTGCTCTGCAGTAAAGCCATTCAAACCAGTTCAATTTTTGCTGATGATATTCTTTTGTTTTATGCCTGCGGTAATTATGAGTGAAACATTACATCATCATTGTGTATCAAACAGTGCCACCTCGAGAAATAAAGATGCATTGCACTTATTGAGTCACCAGATATGTAAATATAGTTGAGCAGGAAAAATATAGGCCTACTTACACATTTACATACCTGGGGTCTCTAGCGTACCTATACACTTTTTACAAAAAAAAAATGTGTTCACATAGTGTTCAAATTGGAATCTGTAATATTTTCTAATGTTTTAAAAGAAGACTCTTCTGCTCAGCAAGGCTGCTTTTATTTGTATAGTAATAAATACATGCCTGATTCAAGAAGGGGGTCTGATGGCCAAAAAAATATAATTTTACTAACTTATTAATTTTAAGTTAAAATTGTGCTTTGTTGGTATAATGTCTGCTAGAATGTTAAAAAATGTTGTTATGTGTGTAATGTATGCAGTGGTAAATATTTTTAAATTGTTGTTTTGTAACTGATTTTTTCTTTGAAAAGCAAGACAAAACAGTAAAAAGCACATTTTGACTATTTAATTTGAGCAATGGTGAAAAAAATTGGCAAAATACATGGGGGAAAAAAACTCTAAAAACCGTGTTCGGTATTCGGCCTTCGGCCCAGTGTTCCATTTTGTTTGGTTTCGGCTTCGGCCAAGAATTTTCATTTCAGTGCATCCCTATTATAAATGTATTATTCATTGTTAGTTCAAGTTAGTTAATATTCACTAATGTTAATGTGAGGCAAGGGGCACCAGGTAACATCTTGCTTAGGGTAGCAAATTGGCCAGGGCCGGCCCTGCTTTCTTCTTTCAGACGAATCCAATCAGAGTAATATTAAAACATGTTCTGGCTCTTCCAAGCTTTATAATGGCAGTCGGCGGGTGTTTCTCTTCAACAGTCCAAAAGCAATCCAATAAAGCGCATCCATCCATAATAAAAAAGTGCGTCACACGGCTCCTGGCGGTGAATAAAGGCCTCCTGTAGCGTATCAATGCGTTTTTGTAAGAAAAATATCCATAATTAAAAACGTTTTGTGTAACTTCCGCTAACTGTCGTACGCACGTTCACGAGAGACTGCCTTTGTTCCTTTGAAGTATGCATCGCGCATGCACCAGTGAGAAGTGACGAACGCGGAAGCGCAGAGGAGAGAACAGAAGTACAAAACGAGGATTTGTAAAGAAAAATGTCAGAGGGTTTCGATATAAGCCAAGAGGATGTCCAGAACATCCGTTACACAAAACTGTTTGTTACATTTTTAATTATGGATATTTTTCTTACAAAAACGCATCGATTCACTACAGGAGGCCTTTATTCACGCTCCTCCGTGGGACTCGAGACCGGTGAGTGGTGCAGGTGTCGCTCATTATCAATTACTCCACCGGCCTCGCTCCGTTCCCACGGCTCTCGGCCCCACCCCCACTCGTCACAAAGTTCTTTCTGATGAAAAAATGAAGCTTTAGTCAAAACATTCAGCACTTGACCTGATATTAACAACCTGTTGAGTTATTATTCTATATATGTTTGACTGTGTCAGATACTTCAGGCGCTTTACAATTCATTTCTCTAAATGATTTTCTAGTTTTACACAATTTGATTCCTTGTTAGAACATCTAGCTAGTCACTAGCTTGTGTTGTGTAGACCAGTTAGTCTGGTTTAACAGCTCAACCAGAACCAAACCAGCATAATTCAGCCTGGATCAGGATGGACATTCATGCTGGTATAAACTGGTATTTTAACTTTGAAACCTACATAGACGTTTCAAGGCATTTTTATTCTACAGCTAAAACCATCATTTTGTCTATTAAATGCACTGAGCATGCATTTTGATAAGGCCGAGTAATTTCATGAATATGTAATGGGCATATTTAGTATAGTGGTGTTAAATTTTGATTAGATATTAAAAGAACATTTGTCATCTTAATGATAAGACAAATAAAAACTGTCTGGCATAAAACAATTGGATTTAATAATGGCTAAATTAGAATAAATTACATTTTAAAATATATTAAAATAGAAAACATTTCTTTTACATTAATATTGCTGTTGTTACTATATTTTTCATCAAACAAATGCAGCCTTGGTGAGCATGACAAGGAGCACATCAGCAGTTCTATTGCAGTTCAGATTCTATCTTAGGCATCATTACTCCTGTAAACATGCAGATCAGTATAATGCATCAATAACTGTATATGCTTCATGAATTCATAGTTAAAATTCATGCTTATATTTCCCCACTACTATCTAGAGCCATAATAAATGTATTACATAATGCCCAACCAACTGCTGCAGAGTCTGATGTGATTTTTACACGTGTGTGTGTGTGTGTGGGATCAGTGTTTTTCCCCATACCCAGAGTAATAACTCCACTCTCCTCTGCAACGTTCCTCTCCCACGATCTTTCCTCTTGCAACAGAAGTACAAAACGAGGATTTGTAAAGAAAAATGTCAGAGGGTTTCGATATAAGCCAAGAGGATGTCCAGAACATCCGTTACACAAAACTGTTTGTTACATTTTTAATTATGGATATTTTTCTTACAAAAACGCATCGATTCACTACAGGAGGCCTTTATTCACGCTCCTCCGTGGGACTCGAGACCGGTGAGTGGTGCAGGTGTCGCTCATTATCAATTACTCCACCGGCCTCGCTCCGTTCCCACGGCTCTCGGCCCCACCCCCACTCGTCACAAAGCTCTTTCTGATGAAAAAATGAAGCTTTAGTCAAAACATTCAGCACTTGACCTGATATTAACAACCTGTTGAGTTATTATTCTGCGCGGCTAACCGCTACTAGCCGCAGTGTGGGTATAAGTGCCCCAGATAGAAGCACACACTACAGTCAGCAGTGAGATAAAGGAGAGCGCGGTCATGCTGAAGGAGATCAGAGTAATTACACTAATATGAGGAGGAGGCCGGCCAAGGGCACACAGCAGGAACCACTGAGGAAGCCGTCAGGAAGTGTCTACTATGACAACAGGGCTTTGGCTGAGCGTGATATCAGTAACACGGCGCATAAACCATGTCTCTCTGTTGGCAGACAGATGATGCCGCTTAGACTGTGATGATTCAGTGCCAAAAAAATAACATTTAAGTGCATGTGTTGAAAGTGTTACAGCAAATATTATCTTAATGGCTATAATTCACATAAGCAGTGAGATAAAGGAGAGCGCGGTCATGCTGAAGGAGATCAGAGTAATTACACGAATATGAGGAGGAGGCCGGCCAAGGGCACGCAGCAGGAACCACTGAGGAAGCCGTCAGGAAGTGTCTAATATGACAACAGGGCTTTGACTGAGCGTGATATCAGTAACACGGCGCATAAACCATGTCTCTCTGTTGGCAGACAGCTGATGCCGCTTAGACTGTGATGATTCAGTGCCAAAAAAATAACATTTAAGTGCATGTGTTGAAAGTGATACAGCAAATATTATCTTAATGGCTATAATTCACATAAAACATGTTCATATGATATATAAAACCTAGAAGAGTTTGTCATGAACACAATCCTGGACACGAGCATAAGTGAATGCGTGTTGCACATGACTACTATCCTTTTAAAAGCAATTATATGACGTTGTAGACACTGGACTAATGTTAGTGGAGACAACCCTTTCCATTTACAGCACATCCACTGTGTAACCATTATATTGACTATATAAACTTACAGTAAGCTTCATATAAACATATCCACTGTGAGCAAGATAAAAGCTCTGTTCCAAAACCTGCTGTCTTGGCAGATGCCTTTTAAGGGAACCTAAACTATAGTATATAAACTGCAGCGCTCTACACATGACACTCATCTCACAATTGTGAACATTAAAATACATTTATGAGCATTAAAATACATAGTTTATGCAAATATTGGATTATACATTTTTAATTAGATTAAACTACTTAATCAATACTTTTCAGTATTTAATTAAATATACAGTATGTACTCATACACTACCAAAAATGTGGGGTCAGTAAGATTTTGTAATGTTTTGGTAATGTTTTGCTTACTGAACCCAAACTTTGGGTAGCGTATATTCTGTAAGTATATATTGATTTCTCTCAGCTTATTTGCTGTTTTGGATTGATTTATTACTGAACTCTGTGCAATGCATTCTGGGATTGTCTTTGCTCTGAAGCATACATGAGAGGCTGCCTTAGAATTTGGCAAATGAGGAATCTTAAAGGCAGAACACCTTCTGGAAAAGCATCTGTGATGCCTCAAAATGCTGTCCACAAGGTTTTAGAAAAGAGTTGTGGAATAATAAAATCTCAGTTTACTGTTTCTAACTTTGAGTTTTAGGGGCTTTAAATGCGACTCACCACAACTCCACTGTCTGTAACTGCTTCTCTGTAGGTGAAGTTGCACACGGCCCAGGCCAGGTAGTACGTGGACATGCGGGGCGTCCTGGAGAAATGGTTGGTCACCCATCCGTCCTCGTCAGACGTCGAGGCCTCCACTGGCATGTTGGACAGCGACTGATACGAGCTCTCGTGTTTCAGACTCACTCTGAATGTGGCTTTATAGATGGGCTCGTCGAAACACGGGAAGGCCTTTCTAGCGTGAGTCGGAGAGAACTGCGTCACCGCGAGAAACCTGCAGAATAACACCAGCAATGAGAACATGAGAGAGAGGTAAGGTGAAAGAAATCTCTGGAACAATATGTGCTATTTAAGTAGCTCAGGAGTCTGGACTTCATTAAACTGGCTCACATGACTTTCCTGAATTCAAATTAGCTCTGACTGCCATCTCTGAACTCATCGCTGTGCATTTTTATCACACTAATGAGCTTCCTGGTGTGAAGATGGACAACATTTTTACAGCTTTTTGAACCACAGCAACTAAATCACATCAAATGTCGACATATAATAAATCACACCAGAATTACTACACAGAAATAATGATATATCTGTCACAGCTGTAAACATTAAACCCATCTGCGACAGCATTAGTCAACAAATTGACAGCGTGAACCAATTTAGACGACAAGGAAATAATAAAAAGCTGTCAAATTCATCTTACATGTAGTTGGATTGGTAAATGTTAAGTGAATCATTAATAATCTACACATTTACCACATCAGAATCACATCTGAGTCTGAATATCATTATAAGTCTAAACTATAAACAGCCTTGGAAGTTTTCTATCAAAGTTAGAGAGCAAGAAAAGCGGTGAGCTGCATTCCAGAAAGCTGCATTAATGGACATTAAAGCCCGACTCACAGGGAGATTTGGCTTTGACCACCCACAGCATGACCAGCAGACGGGGGAGGAGGGTTTTCTGCTCCTGCATTTCTATCACAACTTTTTACTCTCATTAGCAGCCATTCATGCAGTAGCAATGTATAATGAGTCTATAATGTCCCATCTGTTTACCTCCCCTTCATTCTGATATTTATAGATGCTAGTACCATTTAAACATCTTTACACTATTTAAAGAGAACAGTTGAGACTGTGGCAGGAGGTGATGAGAAATCAGACGACTAGCAGACACACAGGAGATTCGCACAGCAACTAAATCACATCAAATGTCGACATATAATAAATCACACCAGAATTACTACACAGAAATAATGATATATCTGTCACAGCTGTAAACATTAAACCCATCTGCGACAGCATTAGTCAACAAATTGACAGCGTGAACCAATTTAGACGACAAGGAAATAATAAAAAGCTGTCAAATTCATCTTACATGTAGTTGGATTGGTAAATGTTAAGTGAATCATTAATAATCTACACATTTACCACATCAGAATCACATCTGAGTCTGAATATCATTATAAGTCTAAACTATAAACAGCCTTGGAAGTTTTCTATCAAAGTTAGAGAGCAAGAAAAGCGGTGAGCTGCATTCCAGAAAGCTGCATTAATGGACATTAAAGCCCGACTCACAGGGAGATTTGGCTTTGACCACCCACAGCATGACCAGCAGACGGGGGAGGAGGGTTTTCTGCTCCTGCATTTCTATCACAACTTTTTACTCTCATTAGCAGCCATTCATGCAGTAGCAATGTATAATGAGTCTATAATGTCCCATCTGTTTACCTCCCCTTCATTCTGATATTTATAGATGCTAGTACCATTTAAACATCTTTACACTATTTAAAGAGAACAGTTGAGACTGTGGCAGGAGGTGATGAGAAATCAGACGACTAGCAGACACACAGGAGATTCGACAGGGATGTCAGAGTGAAAATCCCTGCAGCGATACACATGGAGGCGTTTGAGTTTGTTGTCTAATGTGACACGGCTGTGCCTGAAAATGTGTGAAGGATGAAGGAAAAACTGATAAATCTCCAAAAAACACCAGATGATCAGATGTCGGTTTGAAGTGAACTAACAACACGGTTCATGTGGCCAGGTCTAACTACATAAACACGGGTATTTTCTCAATCCTGCGAGATCCCCGCCGTTCAGCGTTCACGAATGTACGAGCAGCCAGCAGGCGCTGATTACACTAAACTCAATGATCTTCACAGCCTGTGGAGCTCAGAGCTGCTGCGGGACGCTGTCTGAACATCAGTGTGCTGAATTTATCTCAAACGTGCTCTTCAATGGACCTCACAATATCAACACCTCACTTTGTGCTGAATCAAACATGGGGTTGTTAAAGAAACGTTACACTGAGCCCTTGACATGCTGTTTTGCAGCTGAAAGCAGGAAGACGTCCAGCAGTTATTGCCAAGACAGAAAGGCAACTGGAGGATGGACAAAAGGTTTATGAAGTGTGTCCATGAAAGCGATCCCTTCAGGGTAAAACAAGGTTTAAACATGTCTCAAATGCAGGAAAACCTGGGGCAAAGATTCAAACATGAGCCATTTTTCCCTCAGAGGACAAAGAGTCAGAAGCCAGAAAACAAGAAATACTGAGTGTTGTCTAGCTGAAATCACTCTGAATATGAGGATGTAAATGGCTGTAAGACACTATAATTAATACATATATGAGCTTAAAGAGCTGAATAATATGATATTGGGTGATCTGTTGGTTTTCAAAAATTAAAATGGGTTGCCTTAGTGTGAACACTAGCACATTTCAACCGAACTCCTAAACCCAACTGTCTAATCTCACTTTTTATATATTGATGCATTATGGTAATAACTGTATAAATAGTTAAGATAATGCTGCAGGTAATTTTAATGTAAATCTAACTCTGTGTGCATATTTATGAATGTTTAGCACTAGCTGGAAAACTTCCCACGGTCACGTCTCAGTGTCTGACAGTAAATGAATCGTTGAGCGTCGCATCAGACAGAGCTGTGACTTCAGTACCCAGAGATTTGACTAGTGTTTATTCAGATCTACATGACCTCTGACCTCCCTAAACAGCGAGGAACAGTGACTGTCTGAGACAGAGACAGTGCAAATTACATGCAGACAGTAGTGTTAGAGTTACAGGTGAACTGCCTACTCAGTTCTCAACCGTAACCTGAATGTGAATATTATGAATCAAGAACCAGAGATTATATCTTGTTAATTTTAACACATGCTGTAATAATATTTGGAAAACAGCAACATTTTTAGCCTTGGCAGTTGTGTTTGTAAAACGTATCACTTCCATGTTGTACTTGACACTTTACTGACATCCTGACATCTGCACATCACATGTCCCTGTGACAATACAACGTTAAGAAGCATTTGTGAGAATGGCAATAAAGACAATCTCACAAAACGTATGCATTTAATTATGGCAACCAGAGTTTCAACTAAAACGCAGCGGTTGCTGTTATAAGATGTATTACAACCTACTTTATAAGATGATGCCGTATTCATTAATGATGGTTTTGAAGTAGCAAACATTGCTACTGAAATGATTAGATTTTGGTGTAAGCCATCAAAAATACTAGTTAGGAGAATAAATTAAGATAATTACAATATAAGGCTTGTTGGTATTGCACTAAGATGCAAATAAACATCTACATATCAATGTCATGCAGCATCAACATAGCATCATTTGCATACAATAATATCACTGACGTGAATCTCACAAGAGTGATCCTTAAAGAAGTGCTCATTCTCCCCTCAGAAAATTCCCATTAAAACCATAATTTTTACATAATACCACTGTTAATAAAGTTCCTATGGGAAAACTGTGATAACTTGGTGACAGTAGGATTCTTCTACACTTTTTGAATCAGATCCCAAATTGTTTATTATAGTCAGTACCTATGGTATTTTGGTTATCATGGTAAATTTCTGTGAAAGCACTGGCCAAAAAAAGTGCTTAATTGCGCATATGATAGTCAGGCAGCATCAACGGTTCCCAAGGTAACAGCAGAAGATTATAACAACACATGAGAGACTTTATGACGGATCTGATGTGTTTTATATTCATGATCAGCCTCCGTTCACGCGATGCACCTTCAAACTGCGGAGGATGAACCGGCGGACTGATTTAAAGGCAAAAAATTCGGCGAAGATCCCGCGAAACACGAAGTTCGTTTGGTCAGATGCTGGAGCTCATCGAGTCCCGCCGCACATCCATCTCTGCTCTGATATCAGTCTGATGTGGATGAAGGTCCAGCACCTGCTTCCTGATCAATCGCGAGAGTGTTGTGAATCTCTCTCTCTCTCTCTCTCTCTCTCTCTCTCTCTCTCTCTCTCTCTCTCTCTCTCTGCAGAGTTGCATTAATATTCAATAGAATAATGGAACTTAGACTAAATAAATGAAAAAATGATACACGCATTTGAGTCATGCACATGTCAAAATCTTACAGCAGCGCTGTGACAGTATTTTCAACACAACAATTACACATCACACAAATACATTAGATTAGAAGATGTCTGTTTTTTACTTTGACAATAAAAGCATGAAAGGTGGAGGTGTCAATCAATTCAATAAAATCATGCAGGTTGTGTGGGGCAGACAAGAGAGAGCCTTTCTACCTATGAGTAAACACTATGTATAATCACTAAAATGAACAATGTGAGCTACAACTGTACAAAACTAAAGGCTGCTGTCCATGGTGCAGAATCAAGCAGTACTATTTCAGCACCACTAGTGCAACTTCACTGAGAAAAAGTTTGCACTTCCAGCAAGGTCACAGAACACTATTGCCATCTGCCATTGGTAGATAGACCAGATAGACCAGCTCAAGCCCTTGCCATTGGTTGGTAGATTCTTAAACAATGCTTGAAAAGCCACTTTTCAGGGGGAATCAAACTGTTACATATAATAATTTCTACATATTAAGGTTTTTGAAGATTTATACATATTTAAAATGACAAACTTTAATGAGTTTATCCATTTTTACTGCTTAAAACATTTAGCCCCAATACAATATAGAAAATGAACCTGGGGGGCACAAATCAGATCTATATATATATATCTATGTCTATGTATATATATATATATATATATATATATATATATATATATATATGGTCTATGTATATATATATATATATACAAGATGTATAAAACCTAAAATAATAAACATGATACTATTTCCTTGGTTTATACATTTTTCACCCTTTTTTAGCATCAACATTTTCTTTTAGCAGTTTTGTAGTGATACAGAATATTATCTTAATTTAATTAACATAATAACGTGAAGCAAAAAATGTTTGTTTGTTTGTTTGTTTTATTAAACTTTTCACTAAATTAAATATCAAAAATCATATTTATTTTACACAAGTCTGTGGCCATGCACGCCTGTAAATGACAGAGCATCAGTCATTAGGCATTAATCACATTACAATACATTCGACAAATAATAAACTTCCAGCTCTGTATCATGGAGAACACGATTGCACAGTGTTCTGGATGATAGAGAGCCATTTTCACAACTGTGTTGGTATTTTTAATACACATTTTCTTTCTTGTTTGAATTCATTTTGACATTTATTTACCCTTTATCTTCTTTTTTAGGAAAGATGCCATCATTTACCACAGCAAATGCTTCTGACAATGATGACAATGTGGTCTCATTGTTTGTAAGAGACCTTCATCCTGATGTTTCCAAGTTCTTTATCAGATGTTAGTCAGGCGTTTTGTTAGTTTTGGATGATATTCAACAGTTGTTCGAGGTCCAGATGTCTGAGCTGCCTCATGAATATCTGCTGATCTTGTACGTATCAGATAATGAAATACAGCAGTTGTATTTGGTTGGTTTGGTTTAGCAGACATCAAACCATAAATTATTGAATCTTGGCTTTTATTGTATTATATTGAATGTGTGCCATTGCTTTAGTCTGTAATCAGTGATGTTTGAGTAACCCCGTCCTTCAGACCAGCAGAAATAAGATTTTAAAAATCCATCTCACCAGAAAACATAAAGTTTAGCATATTTGAAATGAACAGACTTAATACAATTTAAATTAGTACATCTTAAATAATTGTAGATATGTAAATAGAATATATTAAATATTTTCTGATGATTAAAAAAAATCAATTCAGAGGAGCTAGTTTTCTTGAGGACATCAACACTGGTCATGGTGCATGATCTATCAATGTCAGTTTGTTGTCTGTGGTTTGTTCCTTTGCACTTTGACCTTTATGTTTCTGTAACATGGTGAAATGTAATTATGGGTACTCTTCTGCTTCCCAGGAGGTTTTGCTGGATTTCTGGGCACGTGTGAGGAACCACGTGAAGACTGATGAGGAAGAAACTGTTCCTCTTTGATTCTCATCAGTAAGGACATGGTGAGAGTTATTATCTCTTATGTTGTATTGTGAATAATATGATTTTGTTCATTTATCAAACATCTTCAAAAGCTTTCCGCAAACCTTCAAACACCATCTACCACTTTAATCCCACCTCCACATATTCCACCACACATTTGTCTCAGTACATCTGTCATTGTTTCATAAAGGAAGACCAGCGGCAGCTCTTTGAACGAAGTGACGGATCCAAACACCAAATAACATTCTCAATTTGCAGCCGTCGGCATGGCTGGTTAAACAGCACAGCGAGAGGAGAGCCGTGAGCGTGTGAAGATACCCTTGAAGGAGCCGGGAGAGAGAAAGCGAGGTGGAAAGATGACAGGGATAAAGTGAAAAGGAGAAAGGGGCTTCGAGTTCAACTGATTTTATTCACATTTGAAATTCTCTACATTGGAACAGGCAGGAAACACATTTAGATTCCCATCCGATCAAGATCTTTTATACCCGTTTACCCCTAAAGAATTTTCAAACCTATTCTTATGAAATATTGGGGCTGAGATGGAACGTTCTTGAATGATTGCGAGATCTTCAGATCAAATGAAAATGGAGGTGCATTTAAGGAGAAAAATAAGCAATTTCCATGTGGCATCTGAACACAAAAGCTTGTGTCATGGTGTGCAAATGTGCGTGAACCATGTGCCTCCTGTTGAATGAAAATATATAACACAAGATCAGTCTGGAGGGACTGTGAGGGGGGCTAATTGAATCAAAAATGCCATTAATGCCAGTAATGTTGACTTGTTTAGTCCTTGAGGGCAGCTGTGACTGCCAGCACATAGTGGGTTATTTCAGAGGGGAGAAATGAAGAGAAACACACTCACAAAGACAGAAAAAGTGAAGGAAGGAGATTTGTTACTACAGTATATAAGCAGAGCAGAGACACACTGCCCCCTGCAGTCCACAAGTAACATTAACGTAAGAATCACAATCAACAATGGACAGAGATATACACAACACAACTGGTCTGCTGAAGTGCAGTGTCCCTTATCTAAGCAATCTGGTGAAGTCTCTCTGAAACCTGTGAAGTTTTGCTGTTATTCATCATCTCAGCGATCAAGCAGATGTCCTTGTCAAGTGGAACTTCTGCAATCTTAAACAGCTGTTGTGTTTCAGGCAAAAAATGAGGCCACCTGCAGAGCCATTGGGAAATCAACCTCACACACCTGCTTGACTTGCACTGAAAACAAGCTGTAGCTGTTTAAAGGTACAAGAGTAAAATTGTCGGTAAGTACACATTGCATGTCTCTTTCCTTGCCACAAGGGGCGCTGGAGTGGGCATTAGGGTAATCTGACTTTTTCTATGGTCAGTTTTGTCTTTCAGAAAAAATACAAAAAAAAGTTCCGTCATGAAACTCTATGGCGCAGGCCAATAGTTTCTAACTCTATCTGATATAATTTCATCATCTTTCACATGGCACAGCTGATTGGTTCTTTTCGCATCAGCAGTCAATTAGCTTGCTGCTCAACATTCAAATACTTTCATCACTGTAGCAGTTTGCAGTGTGCTTTCAGAAACCCTCCACCTTCCCCAGCTCCACTTGTATAGATCTGCTACGGGTAATTTCACATATGTTATACGTGCGGGGTAAATTCATGTACGTTATATGTGCAGCAGCAATATTTCATACATGCTTACAGCAGTGTGTCTGTGGATGTATTGGCAGTAGCAAGTCTCGGTTCTTGCTCTGCTGCAGCAGAAGAAGCAGCGTAGCAGATCTATTCTGCCAAAACCAAACACGTTAACATTGCTTTGTATATGACCATGCTAAACTCACAGAGAGTTGTCATGACAGAGTAACTGTATTGGTAGAGCAAGAGAATTTTGATGATCAAGATAGACAAGGTTAGTAAAACTCTTCACATATTAATGTTGAAGTGAATAATGTCCCCTTCAAGTTGGAAATATTGTAATTACAATTTACAAGCACATGAGTGTCCATGCAAGCAAAGACTTGTTTATGAGTGGAAAACTTTAGAGGGAGTTTCCGAATTGATCTATATAGATGTAACGAATCAGTCCACTGAAGGCGAGCGTAGTGAGAACCCAAGTGCAGTTTTATTTACAGGTGATCCAAACTCCAAACAAAATCCAAACAAACAAGATACACAGACTTGACGAGGCATGAACAGACTTAACTAGGCATGAACAGATTTGATAAGGCACAAACAGACTAGACTGGCCAACAGCGGGTTACAACTTCAATACACGACAAAAGACAATGGCA